GGCCGACATCCCCCTGCAGCAGAGCCCATCAGCAACCTCACAGGGTCTGCAGTTTTGTGTTATCCTAGGTTCACCATAAGGAAGACTTGGAACACGCCAGAAAAGCAGCGGAAGAGAGAGTCCTCTCCTCTTGCCACCCCCAAGAACACGATTTAGCACGGAAGCCATTCATTGTCATGACGAAAGGAAAGAACCCAATGCCTGAAATTGTGGGGGTCTCACAGGGTTTGATTTCCTTGCTACTTCGTGAAGATTCAGGTGCTTTCTCAGTGGCCTCTCCGGGCTGCGCTGTCCCTCCCACGGCTTTGACCTCCGCGCAGACTCTGAGACATTCCTCTTCTCCGAGCCTCTATTTCCTCCTTACCCAAATAGAAACTTGTTGGGTGAAGTTTATTATAAAGAACGCACTGGCTAACATATAAGAAAAAGATCTGAAAAATACCCAGTGATGGGGGCGTGCAAAAAAACAAAAGCGCATATTGGATTTTTCTGGCTCAGCCAAAGCAGGGTGGACAGGCAGGACCCCTGGCTCAGTGATGATAAACTCAGCTGACGCGGGCTCCATGTGACACGAGGGTCTGCACGTAGGAGGACGGATTGTTGGCAAGGCTGGCTCGGGAGGGGTCCCCGTGGGGTGCTGGAGAAGATTCAGATTTCCGGGGGACCCTTTGTGACACAGCGACCGACTGCAATCCAGATTCCCGGAAAGCAGTTGGATCTCTGACAACTTGGTGAGTCTGTCAATATTTGCTGAGGGGTGGAGACTGTGAAGTAAGAAGATGAAGAAGTAAACCGAGTCAGATGTTGATGGCGTACACCACCTAATGTCTGCAGGGCCAAGAGAAACTCTTTTCTTCGTGAGTTCCTGCAGTGTGGACACTAGGAAGTGAATTCTTCCACCAGAACGTTCGTGTTTCCGAGCACCGGCGGCTACCTCCCTCCAGACAGGGCCCTGAGCTGGGATGAATGCTCTGTGGTCCCCATTTTGAAATTCTTGAATAATTTTGTCTTTGAACTTGTATTGGGGAAGCAAGCCAGACCCGGCTCCCCGACGGTACCCCACACCAGCCAGGATGGGCAGCAACTGGCACCGGGGAAGCAAAATGGCCTGGATGTTTAGCGAGGCAATGCGGTGACTTCTTGTAAAACAAAACACGCCCTGACCAGAGGGCCCAGCGTTTGTGCTCCTCGGCGTTTGCCCAGAGGAGTTGAAAATATACATCCACGCGAACGCCTGCGCATCGATGTTTACAGCAGCTCTTTTCACAATGGCCAAAACTTGAGAATAACGGAGAGGTCCTTAGCAGGTGAATACTATTATTATTATGTTATTCAGCATAAGAAGATACAAACTATCAAGCCGTGAAAAGGCATGGAGGAAACTTAAACGTAGATTACTGACAGACGTCAGTCTGAAAAGGCTACATCTTGTATGAACCCAATATAAGACACTTAAACAGGAAAAAGGATGGGATGTTAAAAAAATTACTGGTTTCCCAGGGCTGGGGGAGAGGAGGAATGCCTAGGCAGAGCACAGAGGACCTTTCGGGTAGTGGTGTTACTCTGTGGGGTACAAGAGCCGCCCAGTGTCATTATACATTTGCCCGATCCCATAGAATGGATAACCCCAGAAGGAACTCTAGCATAACTACGGACTTGGTGTGATTATGATGTGTCCACGTAGGTTCATCAAGTTGTAAAAGATGTCCCACTCTGGTGGGGGCTGCGATCACGGCAGAGGCTGTGCGCTGGAGGGATATGAGTTCTCTGAAAAAAGGGAAAGTCTTTTTTAAAAAGCTGATGGTCGGGGCACCTGGGTGGCTCGGTGGGTTAAAGCCTCTGCCTTCAGCTTGGGACATGATCTTAGGGTCCTGGGATCGAGCCCTGCATCGGGCTCTCTGCTCAGCGGGGAGCCTGCTTCCCCCTCTCTCTGCCTGCCTCTTTGCCTACTTGTGATCTCTGTCTGCCAAATAAATAAATAAAATTAAAAAAAAGGAAAAAAGCTGATGGTCCCTGAGGCATATCTGTGAGCAGAGAAGTCATGCACGGTGCACATCCCCCCAGTCCATCGTGTCCCGCTCACACGTAGCCTCCGTGACGCCCCACAGGCAAAGAACCCCAGAGGGACCCAGGGTGGGTGGGTGACCAGCCAACCTCAGCATGAGTTCCAGGTAAGTGTGTTATACCTACAGCTGAATGTGTAGGGACGCTGACAGCCCTGAGAAGTCATGCTTTCTTCAAATCGGAAATTGTTTCAAGTGCTCAAAGAAGGCAACACATTCTTGAAAACATGAATAAACAAAGAACTCTGTCCTATCCTTTCTTCCTCTTGTCACCTCCCTAGAACAGCCAAGGGCTGAAAATGATGTCACGGAAAGGGAGAGATGGGGCGGTCCGCAGTTTTCCTTTTAACCCTTCCTTACTCACCAACTAACTGAAGGTGGAGAGTGTTGGTCGAGTGTGTGAGTATCTAAAAGTGAAGTTAACTCCACTATGTTTGTGTGACATTTACTCTAAGTAAGAATGAGATATAGACGCTCACACAAGCTACGAATACGTTGTGGGATTCTCGGGATTCTGCCCGTGAACGCATTGCACTTAAACCCACGTTGCACAGTATTCGGATGAATGGTAAAATTCACATGAATAATTTAACATTTTAATTCTTCCTTACTTAGAACAACTTTGAATAGCAAAGGAAATACCTAAGAAGCCGAGAGAAAGACTATGGAAAAAAGGAAAATGCTTTATATGTATATTTTAGGATTTTATTTATTTATCTGACAGAGAGAGGGAGAGAGAGCACAAGCAGGGGGAGCGGCAGGCAGAGGGAGAGGGAGAAGCAGACTCCCCGCTGAGCAAGGAGCCTGATTTGGGACTCGATCCCTGGACCCTGAGACTGTGACCTGAGCCAAAGGCAGATTCTCAACCGACTGAGCCACCCAGGTGCCCCTGAAAGTGCTTTATTCTTTAGCACCTCAAATAGTACTTTCCCTGCTTTGAGAACAAGGGGCTCTGCATTTTCCTTTCTCACTGGCTCCTGTAAATCCCAGAGCCAGCCCTGCCCCCACTGCTATGAAGTTAACATCGACCGGGGGCCACGATATGCCAGACATGCTGTTAAGAGTCCCACACAGATAATGACCCTTAATGGCCTGGGTCGTTCCTACCCCCAAAGAGTAAGACGTCGTCCACACAGCAGTTACTGTCACAACAACTGCAAGTGAGCCGGTCCAAACGAGAAGGACTTGTCGAGCACCCGCTCTGTGGCCGGAAGGCGCCCATCTCGTTTTGCCGAGCGCTAGGACCGGGGGTACAAAGATAAGCACAAAACAAACACAAGGTTGCTCACAGAGAGGGGGGCCAACAGAGACAGGGGGCAAAGTGACTGCTTGCCATCACACAGCCCGTTGATCAGAGTCACGATCTGAACCCAGGCCCGGAGCCCAAGCTCATGAGCCCCTGGGGCAGACTGCCTCTGTGATGATGCTGGCCTGGGTGCGTGCGTGGCAGATGCTTAATAATTGCATGTATTACATTCCAGATTTAAAGATCCAGAGCTGAGCTAGAACTGAGTTTACTGCCTTCGTTGTGGGGTGTCCGATTGTGAATTCACTATCTGTTTAAATAGTTTGCCTGTCCCTGAAATGTTGCTCTCTGAAAGGGGCTTTCTCTGGCTCTCCCTGTTTCTCTCTCTCTCTCTGCAGTCTTGGCTTTGTTTCATGATGAGGATCACACTCTGTAATTCTATGTTTGTTTGTAGGACTCTGTGTTCAATTGCAGTGAGTCTAGAGTGGGGCGGGGACACGGTTCCTCCCCAGTTTAAGCCCAGGGCTATATATAGCCTGATTCTCAGCAAGTAGTTGACCAAAATGGGCGCTTGGGTGAGCACATTAATGAATAAAGCCACAATAATTATTAGTTCGCATTTCTCCTGCGTGTTTTCCCAAGAACACTGAATACTTTTGCCATGTTTCTCTTTTTGCATTGGCTATTAGGAAGCTCAAAGCCACATCTGTGAAGCCATCACAGCAAGCCTGTAAATCCACCTGAATATTTATTTCTGATCCTGAATGCACACATTGATGTATTCACTCTTACTGTCCCTCTTCTTTTGTTATTTTTTTAATTTCCAATATGTCACTGCAATTTTTAAATTTTTCATATTTTTTAAAGATTTTATTTATTTGACAAAGAGAAAGATCACAAGTAGGCAGAGAGGCAGGCAGAGAGAGAGGAGGAAGCAGGCTCCCGGCTGAGCAGAGAGCCCGATGAGGGGCTCGATCCCACGACCCTGAGATCGTGACCTAGGCCGAAGGCAGTCGCTTAACCCACTGAGCCACTCGGATGCCCCTCTTTTGCTATTTTTAACTGATGCTCCCATCTTGTATTACATATGCCCTTGTGAGACACTTTAATAAATATCCCTGCTGAAATTCAGTAAATTCAGCAGGTTGTCTTGAATTTCTAGCCTGCAGAGAAAAAGAATGTCCTTTTCCATGCCGTCCTCGGTCTTCAGAACAATAAGCCACCCTTAGATTACCTGCTTTCCCGTGTCCAAAGCCCGCTGGGAGGGATGTTTCTGTGCCTGGGGCCGGCGTGGTGGGTGAGATGCTCGTTCCTTCAAACGAGGCGGGCGGTGGAGGTGATGTTCTAGAAGAAATGAAGGTGAAAGGCAGACAGAACTGCAAACCCTTACAGAACGTGTTTTCCCAGCTCTGGCCATGGCCCGTGGTTACTGGGGAAGGGAATCAGCAACCCAGGTCAACCCGAGCAGGTACGGGGGCGGGGGGTGGGGGAGCTGGCCAGGATGCTTGAAGTGCCCGGCAGGCCTTAGTGCGGGAGAAATCAGGTGCTGGGTTCTGATTGGAGAGGTGAGAAAAGCTCCTGCAGCCAGGAAGAGAACCTGCTTCTGTGGGCGGATCCCTGGGGAGGAGGGCCTCACCCAGACCAGTGTTTGCCCTGCTCTGTGTGTTCCGCCAGCAGGCTCCGGAGGAGGAAGCAAAGGGCAGGGAGCCGGGCTCAGCTGCCTGCCTAGCTCTGGGCGGCACCAGCTGGAGACAAGGCACCCTGAGCAGGAGCAGCTCCAGGGGACTCCAGGGGACTGCAGACACTCCCGCCAGGGGCTCGACAGGTAACAGCTTCCAGATTAGGCTTGTTTGTGGTCGGCAGCAAAATCTAGACGCCAGGCATCGAGGATTGAGTTCAACCCCAGCTCTGCCACTGATTGACCGTGTGGCCTTGGGTGTGTGTGAGCCTCAGTTTCACCATCTATGAAATGGATTCAGGGATAGCCGTACCAAATGTATTATAGAAAGATTGTATGACCATGTAGGTGGTGTCAGGTGTGAAGCAATAGAAAGAGCTCCAGTTTGCTTGGAACGATGGAGAGCCATTTCAAGTGTAAGACCTGGGGTAAGAAATCAGCAGACAAAGAGGTGTGTTATGGGATTTGGGGACCATTGTCAGGACAAGAGTCCCCCATAGGAAGCTGACTTTGAGTCTCTGCCAAGGGGCATGGTCTAAGGATGTGGAGGAGAAGGGAAGAAGGACTCCTTGTGTGAATCTGGTTATTTACATAAATTGTCTTATTTAACATTCAAAAGCTGTCCTTCGAGGTGGGTGCTGGGTTCAAATCCCAGCGGCAGGACTCCAGAAGTTGGCATTGCCCTCTGAAACTCCTTCCTGCCTTGAAGCGTCAAGGTGATGAGAGGGTGGGTGTCCTGGGGCCAGATGCCTCAGGCTGGCTGGGCGTTCTAGGGCGGGTTACTTCTCCTCCCTGGGCTTCCTTTCCTCTGGTGTTGAGATCCAAGCAGACACCTGTGCACTGATAAATGCTGGCTTTTGTTTCTATCGTCATCATCACCTCTGCCTGACAATTCGGGAGAGGAGGTAGGGCCAGTGGGGAGAACTTCTAGGTCTCCCAGGTCTCCCAGAATGGAGCTGAGATCCAACCCATTTGGGATTCAAGTGAAGGGAGTGAGGCACGCACGGGTGTGCAGAATTTAAGAGACACCAAGAAACTCAGTCATCCAGATAAATTTTATATATATATATATATATATGTATATATATATATATATATATATATATATATTTGGGGGGTGTAGGGGCAGAAAGAGAGGGAGAAAGAATCTTGAGCAGGAACCTGACACAGGGCTCGATCTCACAACCCTGAGATCATGACCTGAGCTGAAATCAATAATTGGATGCTTAACCAACTGAGCCACCCGGGTGCCCCAAGATAAATTATATTTTAAAGCAATATTTAAAAAATAAAATTAATGTCAAAACATCCACAAGGAACAAAATAACAGGTTAAGTAAAGACAGGTTCAGTAACAGCATTACTGGGTTTTTTTAAATGCTGTGTTAAAAATATAATCTTCGTCTTGATGGCTTGAGTTTTCCGGCTCCCCCTTAAATTTTGCACGAGGGGCGAGTGCCTGATGCACCCACCATCCACGGGGGGGGGCCTGCTGAGACACCGCTGGCTTCAGGCCTGGGGTTTATTTGTCCTGCTTTGCCCCCAAAGTAGCCAAGAGAGGAGTGTGCTAAAGTCGTTTTCTATTTAAGGGGGAGTAAGGGACACAAGGCCAAGTCCCCAGTCATGGAGAATTCTTTTTTTCGCAAGGTTTCTGAAACTCGGGAACAGTTGGTTGTCTTTTTACCAAGAAGTCCTGTGCTTCTGGAGAGCCAACGGCCCGTCGGGACCCATCCTGGCCGGTTTCCCAAGACAGCAGATGCTCACACTGAGGGACGGGTCTCCTCCATCCTGCTGGAGGGACACGTGCTGACGGTCGCACTGCTGGTAGCTCCTCTTACCGTTGCCCGGCACTGGGAATAGTTATGGACGTGACAGCCTGACGCACCGGAGCCAGGATCGACCCCTGCTCTGCCTCCTTCGGGCTTTCTGATCTGAGGCAGGGGAGGCAGAGAGGGTGGGAGTTACTCTTATTTATACATTTAATCACCAACGTCCATTAAAGAAAGCAGGACCAGCCTTGCACCTGTCCTCGCCGGGTGTGTACTCTGGAGGCGAGGGGAATGCCTCCCTGCGCCTCAGTTTCCTTATCTGTGTAGTGGCGGAACCGTGGGGTGCTCTAAGGAAAAACGGAGACAATGAAAGTAAAGTTCCTGGCCCCAGGGCCAGGACTAGGATGTAGCAAGCAAGGCACCGGAGGGCAAAATCCAGGGCTGGGGGAGGGGATGCTCATTTTCCCAAGTACAGATTCTGCACTTGGAAAGAGAGTGGCTGCTTGCATTCCGTACCTGGGGGCCTCTCTGGCCCTGCCTGGCTCAGAGGGAGCCTTCAGATAATGCTACCCGCTGCACGATTAGCTGGAAGATGCTTGGTGACACGAAGAGTAAGAGAGTAAGCTCTAAGCCTTCTAGGGACATCCACCATTTGTATGCACATAACTTGAGCATTCCCATAGCAAGATATCAACTACCGAGTGTTCCTGAAACACCCGGTGTGATTCTGATAAGGGGACCTCTTCTCCTGGGCCCACATGGTTCATTCTACGGCACAGGGCTAGGGGAGCACAGCGAAGGATGGATTTCAGTCCTCACGTGCCCCCTTGTGCAGGAGGCAACCTGTACCACCGTACGTTGAAGGCCCTCAGAGTGTCTACCGCTCCCAGCACTGTGCTGGGGAACACAAGGAGACGCAGGGTCATGGGACCTGGCAGAGCAGGTCTGGTCTCTTTACTCATTTGATCTTCCCTTTGGAGTCGGGGGGCAGAGAGCTTGCTCTGCTGGGTGCGCCAGATGACTCTGTTGGCACGGCCCTCAACTGGGTGGTAGGGAGGACCCACGGCTTGCCTACATTCCATGGCGTTGATCTAAGGTGTTTCTGCTTACTTGGTGACTAATCCTGTCACCACTGTTTGAGAACCTCCCCTTCCCACTGGACAGTCCTTTTGCTCCTTGCTGGAAGGCAGCTTTCAGAAATGCTTCCTCCTGGGCAGCTTGTCCCATGTTTAGGGTTGACTCTGTTCCCTGGAGGGGGCTTTATAGTTAACCTCTCACTGCAAGGAGGTGACCTAAACACCAACCACTTGTGTGAAAGAGGAGGGAGGAGTTCAAGGACCACTTCCGGGCTGACTAATTCTCCCAGGGAACACACCACAGAGCTAAAGGGATCATAACATTCGTAAGAGAAATAAATAGTATTAGGAAGGACTAACGTTTTCTCACCTGACTACTGCCAAGCGCTTGTGCTAAATCTTTGCCCAAAGATTGCCGATGACCCTTCGGTTGCGTGTCCCTCCTCAAGTGTGCACTGACTGTAGATCAGACCACACTCCTTGACTGGGTGTGATTTTCATTTCTTATTGCACAGACAGCTACGCAATATTTTATATTCTATAGTGTATCACATTACATAGAAACATTTAATAAAATAAGAGCATAACTTAAACGGCAGAGGACACAGTAGAAGGTAAGAAGGAAAAAGTTAAGAGTTTGAGCTGCAGAAGCAGGCTGCCAAGGGTTAAAGCCTGAGTTACCAGTTACCAGCAGATAACCTGTATTCATCAGCTCGTGCCATTTTAACAAAAACGCCGTAGGCTTGGTGACTTAAACAACAGATATGTATTTTCTGACAGCTCTGGCGGCTGGAAGTCCATGATGAAGGTCGTGGCAGACTCTGATCCTGGTGGGGCCTCTTTTCCTGCCCCTCTTGCTCTGCTGTCCTCTCGCTGCGGCCTCACATGGCGGAGAATGAGCAAGCTCTCTCGGTGTCCCCTCTTCCAAAGACGCTAATCCTCTGAGATCGGGGCCCCACCCCGCTAACCTCCTCTGACCTTACTGACTTCCTTAGGGACCCTGTCTCCGGACACAGCGGCAGTTAGGGCTTCACCATGTGAATTTGGAGGGAGACGCAGGTCAGTCCATAGCACAATCTTAGGCAAGGAGCGTCGGCTTCCTGTAGCAGGTTTGGCATCTGTAGGATGGGACAATATAAATGCGTGCCTCGTGGGGCTCTTGGCAGGACGTGATATACCCATATAAGACAGCACTCGGGGCAGGGTCCAGCATAGAGAGCGGGCGCTGTGGAGATACGAGCTATTATGATTCTGAAGGCATAGCACATTTGACGTGGCCCTTATTATAATGGCTAATGGTCAGTCCTTCGCTGCTGTATATGAACCGCAGGACTAAACGCGGTGAGGACGAACCTGCTGCCATCTTTCCTCCACCCCTCACCCCTCACCCCTACAGAATGGGGGCCGAAGCTATGCCCACAGCTGGTGTGAGTCAGGACAGAGGGCTACTCTGTTTCCCCACCAGGGACTAGACCCCCAGCAGCTCCTCAGAAACGTAGGTCACTAGGGACACTGGGCCATAAGTGCGAGGAGAAAACTACCAAGTCCAGCCCCTAGAGCCAGATCCCACTACTTCCACGCTGGTCGCATTTGGGGGCAGGTCATTCTCTGCTGGGGGCTGTCCTGTGCCCTGCGCGATGGTCAGCAGCGTCTCTGGTCTCTGCTCGCTGGGCGCCAGCAGCAGTCCCCCGGCCCTGAGTTGTGACCCTCAGAAATGTCTCCTAGAGGGCAATACGGTCCTCGCTTGGAAGAGTGGGGCTGGCTGGAGCCACGGTGCCCTGCACACCCATTCTCAGGGAAGGGCAGCTGGAGGCCTAGGTTCCCCGGCATTTGCAGGCTGACAGCACAAAGGACCCACAAAGATGGCCCTGGCAAGATTGGGGGGCATTTCAGATGCCTACGCTGATGATGATTATGGGGCCCGAAGGCAGAGGCCCTTCCTCCATCTGAGAATCCGTGTTCTGTGTGTCAGGTTAGGCAACATCTGGGGGAGACCCCTCGCCCAGGGGAAGCTTCCACACCCCAAAGTGTCCAAAACAGCGGCCCTGGCTGTCACAGAGATCACCTGGAGATCATGAAAACGTACTGGTGCCACGGGCTCCAGCCTGGAAAATCTGAGGGATTGGGTCCAGCTGGGGCCCGGGCACGGGGATTTAAGTCCCCCCCTGTGTCTCTTGCACCCACTGATTGTGGCCTCAAGGACATAGTGGAGGTGGAGAACTAAAAGGATTTTCTATCCCAACGACCCCTCGCAAAGACTGACCCCACGTTCTCAAAATGCTAAGGGCTCCAACATGAGTCCAATTTCAAAAACAAAATGCCCCACCATATGGCCTGGCTGCTGTTTAATGTCAGAATAGGTCATTAAAAACAAAACAACTCACACCATTGGTTCACTAAAGAAAAGGCATTACCTTCAAATGTGTTTTTGTTTTTTTCCCTTTTTGTTGTTTTTTTTGTTTTCCAACTAAAAACTGGTTCTTTCAAATGAATACAGCTTTCTTGATGGAAAAACTCCTGATCTGATTAATTTTTCACATTTGTTGGACACCGGAGAAAACCCCAGCCCAGAAAGGAGTTGTTGTCTGAACCATCTGAGCCTCAGTTTTGCTATCCATTAACTGGGGGTAAAGAGGCCTCACGTCCCAGAGTCCTTGAGCTGGGTTATAGGGAGCTCAGCTCATCCTACTTTCCCCGTGGTGGTGGGGGGGTGGGGGACGTGCTTTCCTGGTTTTAGCATGAAAGTCCTACGCCCCTGAACACCTTCTTTCCCAGGACATCCTGGACAGACGCTCACCATCGTGGTACTCTCTGTATGTGCCTGATTATGAGACTGCCTTGTGCCTTTACTAAAAATACAGATCCAGGGCTCCAACCCAACTTTTTGGTGAGAGAATGTTGAGAATCAGAGGTGGTGCCGCGTTCCTTAGCTGATTCCCACGATCAGAGAGCTTTGGGGGAAACTGCCTGCAAATACACTTGGATGTAATGGTGATAACTGTAATCACGGCTTCCCCGGGCGCAGTGCCCACTGTGAGCCACACTCTCTTCCCCACACCTCGCATAGAATAACTCATTCAATTCTTGCAACAACCTCTTAAGGTAGGTCCTAGTGCCATCCCCATTTTTAGAATTTTTGTTTAAAGATTTTATTTATTTGAGAGAGAGAGAGAGAGTGAACGTAAGTGGGGAGGAGGGGTAGAGGGAAAGGGAGAGGGAGAAGCAGACCCTCCACTTAGCAGGAAGCCCGATGCTGGGGGTCCATCCCAGAACCCTAAGATCATAACCTGAACTGAAGGCAGACGCTTGACTGACTGAGCCACCCAGGTACCCCTGTTACCCCCATTTTACAGAAGAGGAAGCTGAGGTCCTTCGAGGCTCAGTAACTTGCCCTGGCTCACTCCCATCCTTATCCTATGTGCCACGTGGCTCTTTACCTAGAGCGTTCAGCACTGGGCTGGCACAGGGCTGGCTCTCCCTACACATCAGATGTGATTATCATGATTGTTTTATCAGCTGTACTATCTTTTTTTTTTTTCAAGATTTATTGATTGATTGATTTGACAGAGAGAGAGAGAGAGACATTGAACAGAAGGAGCACAAGCAGGGAGCCTGATACGGGTCTTGATCCCAGGACCCCAGATCATGACCTGAGCTGAAGGCAGAGGCTTAACCCACTGAGCCACCCAGTGGCTGTACTATCTTTAGAGCAGGGGAGGACTTGCCATGCTCGAGCCAGCTTTTAACAGAAGACGTAATTGCTAAATGTGAAATTGTTCCCCTTGCCCTCCCCAAAAGTCTGACCTCGCCTTAGAGACTGACTGTATTCATTTCTGCTGATACTGACGACGGCCAATAGGTGGCAGGAACCTTTTGTGTTTGTCGCTGGAAATCCTCTTCTTCACAAAATCCGAAGGAAGAGCAGGAACAATTTCACAACACCTGTGTTGTGACTGTGGGTGGGAAGCAGTATTATCTGAACCCAGGTTCTCTCCCTGCAAAAGACGGAGAATGCAGTGTCCTTCCTTCCATCCGCTTGGCCCTGAATTTGCGAAGAGCCTACTTCAAATGCTACTTCAAATGCGCAATTATCAGGAAAAGGGAGCCCCAGCTCCTTGGGAGGAAACATTCTCCTGCCTGCTCACATCATGACCTCAGACATTTTTTGAAAGTAGCCCCCAGATTGGACTGAATCTGCATTGAATAAGAAGAACTTAAAAAATCTGCAGACCCCTTGGTGACTCATTCGTAATTTTGTTAAAAGCTGGGCTCAGGTGCTGACATAATCTGCGTGTCTATCCTTGTGCGTGGCTTTGGTCAAGGCATCTCACCCACTGACCTCAGTTTCCTTGTCCGTAAAATTGGAATAATGACACGACTGCCTTACCGATTTGCTGCAAGGAGTCAACAAGTTTATTATAAGTAAAGCCCTTTGAATAGCTGCTCAACACATGGTAATCACTCACCAATTTCGTTGTTGTTGTTCCTATTTTGTCATGCCTGTGGTTGTTAGAGGTGTCATCTTAATTTTTATACACAGCGGGTTCAAATCCGGGTCAGTCTAACTACCACCAACACTTTGTCTCTCAGCTCCCTGAACCCCTTTCTTTGCAAACTAGGTAGATATCACTCAGAGTGATCTCCAGCAGCGATTGATAAACATGCTGGAAAAGGCTAGATAGTCAATATCGTAGGCTTTATAGACCGTGTAATCTCTGCTGGAACTATGCAATTCTGCCTCTGTAGCGTGAAAGCAGCCCCCTGTTGACAAGATGCGAATGAGTGGGCGTGGCTGTCTCCGGATAGAATCCACGGATAGATATGGAAATTTGGAGTGCGTGTAAGCTTCCTGTGTCACAATCCGTGGTTCTTCCTCTGATTTTTTTCCAACCATTTATAAATGTACAGCCTGTTCTTAGCTCTCCCGCCACACTGAACTAGGCAGCGGGCTGGGTTTGGCCACCGCTGTTGCTCCCCCACCCCAGTCTTGAGGATTCGATGCGACGTGCAGGATGCCCCGTTTATAGATGGAAGTGGTGGTCTCTTGTAACTACGCATGGCATGGATTTTGTAAGTAGGAAGCCTTGCAAATTCACTAAAGTCCTGTATGTGTTAGCAGGTGCTCAGTTTTATTACCTGGTATGATGAGAAAACACATAACGTCCCCAGATCCCGTTATCGATCAAATTCCCCCAAGAGAGCATTTCGTGAGACCTATGACCCTTTTTTGGCCTCTGAAGTTTCCGATGACTCAGTGTGTCTATTACCAGGGCATGAAACCTCACACCCTGTGGGCCAGAACTCCATGGGAGTCCTTAGAGATGCACGGGTAGCTTTCAACCAGAAATCAAAAGTGCTGGCTTGTATTCTGAAAGCTCCCAGAGCTGATGAGCCCGCTGCTCCCCAAACATACATTATTTGCGTGTAAAAAGAAACTTTTAGGTCTCAAGGCAGCAGGTCTCGGGGATGTCTGAAAGAGCCCTACTTCTGAGACTAGGCATCCTCTGGGTCAAACCCTCACTCTGCATTTCCCGGATGTCTCTCCTGGGTGAGTTTTGGGAACCTAATTCCCTCCTCTCGAAGGGGAGGTAGTAATATGCAGAACATCCCAGGGGTCAGGAGCCCAAGCAGCCTGTTTGAATCTTGCCTCTGCCATCACTACGGGGATGACCTTTGGAAAGTGATTCGGCCTCAGCTTCCTCATATCTAGAACGAGGTGATGGCAACACCCGTTTCACAGGGGTGCTGTGGGGCTCAGTAAACCAACTCTGGGAGCGTGCTTGGGGACTCAGTGCTGGGACTGCTACATAATTGTTGACTTTTATCATTATTATTAAAACAAGGCTCTCGAGAGGCTCAGTAATGATGTGGGCACATGCCTGGGCGGGGGGGGGGGGGGGGGGGGGTAAGCTATCGATTATCCCCTCCTCCCACCACTAACTGATAATTAGACCTGATAAATGGAAACACTGCATTGAGAACAGAAGAGACAACAGCAGGGAAAGACAGTCCTGGCCTCATGATGCTCATAGCGTATCAGGGAAGGGACACAGAAGCTAAATGTTCTGTTTTGCCCTCCCAGTCTGGACTCATTGTTCCTTCAACCCAGAACCATCCATCCTACCCACCTACCCCTAGCCCGGCCCCTGTTATATCATGGATTTACTTAGGCTCATTGCATGAAATCCTATGTGTTTGGTTTAACAAGCACTTAGATATCACTTATACTGAGCCAGACGTTGTTCTTACCACTTTCCTTACCACACTACCACAAGCATTCATCACTGAGTCCGTGTAGCAGGCCTGTGAGGCACAGAGAGCCGTGTTAACTTGCGCAAAGACACACATCAAGGAGAAGCAGAGGGAGGGGTCAAGGCCAGGTTGTCTTGCTCAGGCTCTGTGCTCCCAACCACTGTACCATGCTGAGCTGAACTATCAAAGTATCAAACTATCAAACTATCAAGCCGATGGACTTACTACCTACCCACCAGACTTTAGTACCTACCCACCAGACTTTAGCTCTATATTTAATTATAAATATATCATTATAAGTACCTCTAAGTGCTATGAAAAACAAAAGCAAACAAACCAAAAGCCATGAGGAGGCTCCATGAGGAGTTTTAACAAGGGGTCTTTAGTTTGACAATTAGAGAAAACTAAAAATTATAAGTATTATTTTAATTATCTACATTCTGACATTTCCTTGATACGATAGCTGTGCTGGGCTAAAAGAGAAAAAAAAATGTTATCTATACTGAATATGTTTTTCATGATGATAATGATTTCCTCCCAGCAGTTGAAAACTGGGGTTGCATTGGACTTAAACTTTACTGAATATAGGAGTCCCAAACCTTTTCTCATCCCCCAAAATAAATACGAGCAATTGAGCTAACTTGGGCTTGCGGCGATACACCCGCAGTAACCTGCCCGTTCACGACACTTAGCTTCATAGGTGGGAATAAGATTCTTGTTTTAATTCTTCCCTCTCTTTATCTCTTTTCTTCTCCGTTGCAGGAACAATGGGTAACCAAATGAGTGTTCCGCAAAGAGCTGAAGACCAAGAGAACGAACTGGAGGCAGAAGCTAACAAGGTAGTGTAGTTAGGGTCACGAGGTCATTCACGACTGACCAGCAGCTAGATTGAGCAGAGTGGGTGTCAAGCCTGAGTGCTGAGTCCATCGTCTGGGAAGCTTTGCAGACAGACTCCCGCTGCCTGGTCCCACCTGACAGCAACTGAGACGCAGCCTGGGGGGTGGGGTGGCTCGGGCTTCAGCAGTCCCTCAAGCTCCCAGGTGACTGCTCATCTGGGAGCCTCTGGCCTCCGGGGGCTCTGCAGGGGGCAGTGACAGAAGGGAGGGAAGCGGGTGGCAGTTACCTTCAGGGGACCGGAGACCAAGGGTCCATGGGCACATGGTGAGCTCTGGCCGACAAAAACCAACCAGATGTTCCCAGTCTGGTTTGTCATTAGCGGTTGGAAAACAGGGTTCATGAACTCTCCTGCTTTTTAAACACCGGCAATTGATTCCCAAAGACTTGAAAATAAAAACTCTGTGAGCCAAAGAAATCAAATTGGCACACCCAGGATTGCCCCAAAGGGGATGCCGGTCATGAGCTTGGGACCAAAGAGTCGCACAGGTTAGAAGTTTCCTTGTCGTGACTTCTTGGGAGGGTTAATGATAGATGCAAGAACGCAGGCTTATTTTAAACCCTTAAGACCATTACAAAAACCTAAAAGAAAGAAAAGTCTTCTGTGTCCCTCCCACAGGGTTCCAACCTTCAGGAATGCCATCAGACTGTGGTTTTCTCTCTGGGCATTTATTCAGTGATACTACCCTACCGATGCTATTCTCAAAATACGATACGGTGTGCAGAGTACTTAGCACATAATCAATATCCAATTAGTGTCAGCTATTGGTGGTATCATTTAGATGGCCTTGTTACTAAAATAGCACTATGTAACAGACATTCTCTCTGTGGAACATTTTCCTTTCTGTGTGAATATGTACATACGTACATACGCATATATATACGTATATAAGCTTCTTAAATTTCTGCAGCCAATGTCAAGAATAAAAATAATCAGGGCGGGAAACTGGAACAAAGGTTCCAACAGTGAGGAGGGAGGGAGAGGGTGTGGAGCAGAAGGAAAGCCACGGTGAACTTCCTGTATTTGACAAGTTTGTTGACTAAGGGCTGGGCTGAGGACGACTCTGTGTTTTCGGGAGGGTGGCATGTGGTTAACCTCCCGGGACTCGGGGATCGGCGCGTCCAATTCTCTCTCCCCACTGATTAGACGAGCATCCCTGTCAGTTGGGCGTCTCACTGCGCGATGGGGTCCATCCTGCCTGTGTTCGTGGGGTTCCCTGAGATGAATGGTTTACTCAGTTCCCTGAGGCATGATGGGAAGTTGGGTAGTTTCCAGAAACATAGGCTTTAAGTTTAATTTGGTGATGTACCCTGTGGCCTGGAGGTTTTTCCTTGAGTTCTGGTTTTCCCCAAACACCTGACTACGAATTGCCGCATATTCTGTTGCAGGGGGCGCCTGAGTGTGAGTGTGGTCAAAACGGGACGCCGGTGATGATATCGACCTGTGACATTCCATTCCATGGCGAAGGTCAGTGCCACGCGGGAAGTGGGCTGCTCCTCAGGGGGTGGGGAAGGGTCTGCCGATCCTGTGTATGGTGAAAAGAGAACGCAAGGCTTGAAGCCACAAGCTTGCTTTGAAAACGTTAGTGTTAGTGCCCTGGGGCCACTGGGACAGTGTCACAAACGGGGCGACTTACACAGCAGAAATGTGTTGTCTCACAGTGCTGGAGGCCACAGGTCTTTTCTTTGGACTATATTCAGCTGTTTTAAAAAGGAAAACCACAGACACAGAAATGAAGGTACAGATCATGAGCCAGCGGGGCAGTGGGTAGGTAGGAGAGAAAAGCAGCTCCTGAGCTCTTCTGAGCATCGCAAGCAGGAACCTATTCTCTGCCCCTGTCCAAGCTCCCAGGAGTCTCAGTTGTTCCATGGTTTCCAGATGCCGTCCTCTCTGTGCACATCTGTCTGCGTGTCGCAGGTCCCTTCTATAGGGACATAGTCATATTGGGTTGGTGTCCATCCTAACTGACCTCATCCTAACGTGGTCATTGGCAAAGACCCTGTTTCCAAATGAAGTCACAGGCACTGGGGGTTACAGTTCGACTCCGAGCAGCACCCATTGCTTCTGAGTATGCGTAACCGCTGGAAGAGGGCGAGATCTCCAGCAGATAAGACAAAAGCAAAAGAGTGAAACACTAAGAGGTTGGCATTTGGAGTTAGACAGACTGAGGTTAAAGTCCCTGCTCTGTGGGGCACCAGGGTGGCTCAGGTGGTTAAGCGTCTGCCTTCTGCTAAGGTCACGAACTCAGGGTCTGGGATGGAGCCACAAGCAGGGCTCCAGGCTCACACAATTCCCAAGAGGATTAAAGGAGCCTGTCCATCAAACATCTACATGTTACCCAGCACTTAGGAACTCTACAGAAACTGGTGAAATAAACAAGGAAACAAAATCTTCCCTACACAAGGCCAGTTTTAAAATGGGATGATACACTTATCTATTTTGTTTTGTCCTGCATTAGAAGACTATAAATTCAGTGCATCAAAAGTGGCTGGGTTCTACTTTGAGGCGGACATGTATATAAACTTCTATAAGAAGAAGAAGTGGTCAGGGGTAACTCTGGAATCCACCTGCTGGCTTTCCACCTACCAGCTGTGTGTCCTTAAGCAAGTTACTTAAGCTCTCTGGACCTCATTCTCCTTGTCTGTAAAGTGGGATAACAATAGTACCTACAACATAAGTATCAGATTTAATAAAACACCTATTTCAGTGCCTGCCATATAGTAAGTGCTCCATGTATCAGCTGTCACTATTATTTTATGATTACGGTTGCTGTCATTTGCATGTAAGTTTCTGGGTTTCAGTTTCTTCTTCTGAGCAATGAGGAAATGAGTCCTATTATTGGTTCTAGAGGTTTTAGAATGCCCTAGCGTTAGGGGAAAACTCCTTTCTTTATATTCTACTACACACACCACACTGGACACCAAATGTGTGGGCTTTCCATACCAAGCAATTCTGTGATGCTTCTGGGTGTCCTCCATCTCAATGGAGTTCTGACTCTGTCGACCTAAAGGTAACATCAGCCCCCACAGGCTGAAGCCTCAGTCCCTTAAGACTGCCTCCCGCTTTCACACACGGTGGGTGCTCTGCTTACGTGCACAAATCAGAAATCCCCATGAGCCCCACTCAGGTTCTTTCATTTGCTAAAAGGGCTCACAGACCTCGGGAGAACTGTTGACTTTCTAGATGACCAGTTCATTATAAAAGGATAAAACTCATCCACAGCTAGAGGGAAGGGAGGCATAGGGCAAGGTAGGAGGGCTCCTGGGTTTGGGAGGGGGGAGCAGGAGGGTTGATATGGAGCTTCCGTGGCCCACCCTCCCTGCAGCCAGCTCTCTGAACCCTGTACTGTAGGGATTTTTGTGCATGCTCTATTACACAGGCATGATTGATTAAGTCATTGGCCATCGGTGATGGAACTCAATATCCAGCCACTCTCCCCTCCCCAGAGATGGGGGATGGGGCTGAAAGTTCCAACCCTCTAATCACAAGCCTGGTTCCCCTGGCAACCTGGGCCCCCATCCTTAGGGGCTTTCCAAAGTCACCTCATTAACATAAACTCCGAGGTAGTTAAAAGGGGCTAGCTTGTTATGAATAACAAAAGACGTCGTCATGGCTCTTATCATTTATATGATAAGTTTTAGGCGGCCTGTGCCAGGAATGGGGACGAAGACCAAATAGGTATTTCTTTTCTACATCACAATATCATTCCTGAGGAGTTTATTAAAAGCTTAAAATGTAGGGCCCCTCCCATAGGTTCTAACTACAATAAGCTAAGGTGGGGAGCCTTCTGGAGGATTCTGACACACCTCCAGGACTGGCAGTCACTGGACGAGAAAAGGCCCCAAGTTTTCCTTCCTTTAAACCCTGTGGGTCAAACTTATACTTTGATGTACACCAAATGCATGTATTTACAGCAGCAGCCTTTGATGATGGGGTAAAAGCTGGCCATTGAGATGCACAGGCTTTGAAATGAGAATCATACCATTTATATAATTTACAAACTGTAGATGTTTGTTCTCAGGAAATTGAGAGGCATTGAGAATATAATACGCCTCTTTATCATAGAGAAACCTCTTTCTCTATCATAATTATATGATCATTCCCCTATTTGTAGTATAGGGCACAAAGGCAAGGAGTGTGTAGGAAGAACAAAAGAACGTAGGGTTGGGAATTGAGAAAGGCCCCTCCTTTCTCCTTCCCTTGGTCCCTCTCTCCTTCCTTTTCTACTTTTTTCCCTCCTTTCTTCCCCAACATCTACATATATATCTATATACATATATATACACACACACATACACACACACACACGCATACACACACACATACATACAATTAATAAATTATATATATAAGGAAGGAATTCCTAAAAGGAGGAAAACAGGTTACAGAAATACAGGACGACAGTCTGGAATAGCATATTGCTGTTTGAATACCGACGCATGACAAGGGAAACAGAGAATCGCATTTTGGTGAGTCATAGGTTCCTTGCATTTAGCTCTAGTCCCCCACAGCCTTGCTTTCAACTTATCTGGCACCCGCTGGAGAATATGTAAAGAGTTTAGATTAATCCTCTGAGGTCAGAATTCTGCCTGTCATTCACTGACAACTTGAGTCCTATGCAACTTGCTTCGGAGTGATTATCCCATTTAATGAGGAAAGCAGCCTATTATTACCATCTTGCTATTTTTTTCCCCAGATTATTAACTAAATTATAATATCCAATGCAGTTTTTAAGGGGGTATAAAAGTAGGATTCTGGGGGGTTTTTTTATTCTTTTGGCAGAAGTCTCTGTGTTCGTCTCTGGTGGGGTATACATATATGTATGCCCATAGAGAAAAGTCACAAGAGAAAGAGATAAGTGGGATTCTGGGTGACTGTGTTCCTTCTTTTTATCTATATTTTCCCTATGACGATTCAACAGTTCATCTCCCTGCAGGAACGTTTCCTGGGAGGGCTTATTAAGAAGCAGGGATGGCAGTAGGAAGGAAGGGTAAAAAGCCAGGATGCGGGATTCGAACTATGGCTCTGTCCTGTAGCTTCTGGAAGTTTCTGGGCCTCTGTCCTTTCATTTGCAAAATGGCAACAATATTCATTCCTGGTAGAACCAAGCTTCTGAGATCATCATGAGGCGGAAATGAGTTGATACATGTGGAATACTTAGAAGAGTGCCTGGCAGGTGGGAAACACATGGAGAAAGTTACTTGTGCTGGCTTGGGTTTAATGTTGATGCTCATAAAGGCTGTCACTACAGTTTGATGTTCACTGGAGTATCTCTAGCATAGTTTTTATCTCCGGGTGGGTCCAATGTACTCTCAAGGGACCTTCTAAGGGGGAACCTGGGGAAAAGAGAGGGATAGAAGCAGACATCACAGAAGGAGAAACAGATTAGAAGATTTTGCAGTGCTGGCCTTGACAGGAAGGAAGGGACCCTGAGCCAAGGAACGCAGGGGTCCCCTCCAAGCTGTAAAGAGTAAGGGAGAGATGTTCCTCTAGAGTTTCCAGAAGCTGATGCGTTTTCGATGTCTGACCTTCAGAACTGTAGGATAATATATTTGTGTAGTTCTGAGTCACCACAATTGGGGCGATTTGTTCTAACAGCAACAGAAAACCATGTGAGTGCGCTCATACTTTGGAATCTAACGGACCTGGGCTGAGGTCCCAGCTCTGCTACCCACCAGCTGTGGAACCTTGGCAAAGAATCTGTGTTCTCAGAGAGTCTTCTATAAAATGGGAGTAATAATAATATTAGCTTTGGTGGGAGGTGTAGAACAGTGGCTGGCACAGGGTAAATGGGCTGAAATACAGGAGACAAGCAAACTAGACGTAGAGCCTGATGAGCTGCCTGTCCTTTATCTCTGGCTTTCCCTGTCATGTCCTCCGACGATCTGAGACTTTCCCACCTGTTTATTTATGCCTAGAACCTCACTGATCTTTGGAAAAATAAAAATGCCTCATTTTCTCCTTCTTTGACTCCTTTCTATCAAATCTATGACATTAGTTCTCACTCTAAAAAAACAAAAACAAAAACAAAACCACTGTTCAGTCCTTAATGCTATTGGATGGCAGAGACTAACACAGGCTGTATCGACCAGAACACAACATTTTCCAGAAACAGGAGACTGTCTCTGCTTCACCTGGATACAAAGTTTCTAAAATATAAACAGCTCAGGAGCGCCTGGGTGGCTCAGTGGGTTAAAGCCTCTGCTTTCGGCTCAGGTCATGGTCGCAGGGTCCTGGGATCAAGCCCTGCATACGGCGCTCTGCTGGGCAGGGAGCCTGCTTCCCCCTCTCCTACCTGCCTCTCTGCCTACTTGTGATCTCTCTCCCTCTTTGTCAAATAAATAAATAAAATCTTAAAAAAAATACTTATATATATATACACACACGTATATATGTGTATGTGTGGGTGTGTATATATATATACATATATATAATATATGGCTTCCCTTTCTGTTCCTAGTCAATTG